TTGTGGAGTGGCTGGAAGGCGCAGCAGCAGCACGGGGTTGGATTTGGGGGGGTGTTTGGGGGTCTCAGGGGGGTCTCCCAGCACTGGGATGTTTTGGGGTATTTTGGGATGATTTTAGGTTATTTTGGGGATTCCCTCACCACGGTCAGGTTGTTGTTGAGCGGCTGGAAGGCGCAGCACAGCAGCGCGGCCCCGTCGGGGTCGGGCACGCGGCGGATGCAGCGCCCGTCCGCGGGGTCCCAGAGGCGCAGGGTCCCGTCCAGCGAGGCGGACACCAGCACGTCGTTGGACAGGGACCAGGCGAAGTCCGAGACGCCGGCGCCGTGGCCGCGGAGCCGCCGCAGCACGGCCGGGGGCCCGGGGGGGCAAACTGCCCCTTCCGCACTGGGGGGGGGAGAGGGGGGCGGGTGAGACCCCTCCCCAAAATTATACAGGGTTAGGAACCCCCCAGAGCCAAGGGAGACCCCTAGAACTGGGGGGAGCCCCCCAGCCCATCCAGCAGGTGCCGCTCGTCATGGGCAAACTGCACCTTCCACACTGGGGGGGGGAGAGGGGGGTGAGTGAGACCCCTCCCCAAAATTATACAGGGTTAGGAAGCCCCCAGAGCCAGGGGAGACCCCCCAAAAACAGAGGGATCAGCCCCAGAGCCAGGGGAAAAGCAGGTGCCGCTCGTCGTGGGCAAACAGCACCTTCTGCACTGGGGGGGAAAAAGGGGGGTGAGTGAGACCCCTCCCCAAAATTATACAGGGTTAGGAACCTCCCAGAACCAGGGGAGACCCCTAGAACTGGGGGGAGCCCCCCAACCCATCCAGCACGTGCTGTTCATTGTGGGCAAACTGCACCTTCCGCACTGGGGGGGGGAGAGGGGGGCGGGTGAGACCCCTCCCCAAAATTATACAGGGTTAGGAACCCCAGGTATCCCCAGGTGTGCCCAGTCTATTCCAGGTGTATCCCAGCTGTGCCCAGGTGCCCCCAGGTGCCCTCAGGTGCACCCCAGGTACCTCCATGCGGTCCAGCGTGGTGCGGCTGGCGCGCAGGGCGCTGCGGCAGCTGCCCGCCTCGGACAGGGCGCCGTAGCGCTGCGCCAGGAGCCGCGCCCGCAGCCGCAGGTACCAGCGCCGCGCCTCGCCCGCCAGGTGCCCGCCCTGCGCCCGCTCCCGCAGCAGCTGCGAGCGCCGCCGCACGTACTGCGTGCGGAACTGCGGCAGCTGCGGCGTGTATTGGGGGTGGGGGTCCAAAGACAGGGGTGGGAACCCCAAAAAATGGGGGTGGGGTCCTAAAAAATGGGGTGGGAACCCCCAAAATGGGGGTGGGAAACCCAAAATTGGGGTTAGGATCCCCAAATTGGGGTGGGAGCCCCAAAATTGGGGGTGGGGTCCTCAAAAATGGGGTGGGGGGTCTTCAAAAACGGGTACGGGGACCCCAAAAATGGGGGGTGGAGCCCCAAAAATGGGGCGGGGTCCTCAAAGGTGGGAGTAAGAACCCCCCAGGCCCCCCAAAATAGGGGAGGGGTCCCCTCAATCACCCAAAATTGGGGATGGGACTCCCAGACCCCCCCCCCCAAAGGAGTTTTGGGATCTTCCAGCGCCCCCCAGGTGTGCCCCAAACCCCTCCAGGTGTGCCCAGGTGTGCCCCGAACCCCTCCAGGTGTACCCAGGTGTGCTCCAAACCCCCCCAGGTGTGCCCAGGTGTATCCCAGGTGTATCCCAGCTGTGCCCAGGTGTGCCCAGGTGCACCCCAAACACCTCTAGGTGTGCCCAGGTGCATCCTAGGTGTATCCCAGGTGTGCCCCAAACCCCTCTACGTGTATCCAGGTGCCCCCCAAACCCCCTGTACCTGCCCCAGGTGCCCCCAGCTGATCCCAGGTGTGCCCAGGTATACCCCAAACCCCTCTAGGCGTGCCCCAGGTGTATCAGGTGTATCCCAGGTGCCCCCAGGTGTGCCCAGGTGTATCTCAGATGTACTCAGGTGTCCCCAGATATACCCAGCTGTACTCAGGTGTGCCCAGGTGTATCCCAGGTGTGCCCAGGTGTATCCCAAACCCCTCTCGGTGTATCCAGGTGTATCCCAGATATACCCAGGTGTGTCCAGGTGTACCCCAAACCCCTCTAGGTGAGCCCAGGTGTCCCCAGGTGTATCCCAGCTGCACCCAGGTGCCCCCAGGTGTACCCCAAACCCCTCTAGGT